TAATGGATAGGGGGCCCTGTAACAGTACTCCTTGCGACTATGACATAGTCGAAGGCAACTTTGGCCAACGTAACCCAGAGCCCGGATCAGACCTATACTCCCAACCACGAGAGTGTCCAAATCCTTCCAACTCCTATCCAAATCCTTCCAACTCCTATCCAACCCATTCAAATTCATACCCAACACCTTCCAGCTCATACCCTATCACGTCCAGAAATAACATTAAAGTCAAACCACAGACCTACAACGGTACAGACGACCTTGATGAGTATTTAGAACAGTTCGACATTGTGTCTGAGATAAACCAATGGAGCTACGAAACCAAGTCTTTATACCTTGCTAGTAGTTTGAGTGGTGGAGCCAGGGCGCTTTTAAACGAATTGGGTAAGAAAGAGAAGCGTGACTTCCAGAGTCTCGTTGGTGCTTTGATGAATAGATATGGATCTGAAAATAGGGCTGAAGTATTCCGTTCCAGATTACAAGGCAAAACAAAAGACAAAACCGAAACCCTTACCGAGTTAGCCCAGGCTATCAAGAAACTTACCAGGAAGGCATACCCAAATGCAGATCCAAGTATGATCGAAATACTAGCCCTAGACTACTTCATAGATGCTATACCAGAGACAGATGTCAGACTACGACTGAGAGAAGTAGCCCCAAAAACCATAAGCGAGGCAGAGAAAATAGCTGTTAGGCTAGAAGCTCACCGGGTGGCGGATAAAAGTAGAGGTAAACACTCAGTTAGAACGGTGGAACCCAGGAAGTCAGATGACGATAAGATAGACAAACTGACAAAACAGATTTCGTCATTAGTTACGGAAGTTCAACAGCTTAAGTCCAAGCAACATGACCCAGAGAATAAAGGAAAGCAAACGGCAAACAAAGCTCAACAAAATAAGTCTAGCTATGGTCAGAAACCAAGATGGAACAATGATCAACACGGCAGACATGGAAATTATGGTAGAAATCATCACTCTCAAGCAGACCATAGAAACCAGGGAAACGACAATTGGTCGAGTTCGAGGACCGGAGCTCACCAGAGTCAGAACGGTCCCAACCACGGGAATTAGAAACAGAACCAGAAGCGGAACGATCAGAAATCCTCCTAAGTACGTGTGGTACAGGAAAAGATGAAGGGTTGTTTTTGACTACCAGGATAGCAAACCAACCAGTCTCCATGTTAGTTGATACAGGGTCCAATGTTACAATCTTAAGAAAAGATTTGATAGATACATGGCCTCGTTCCCAGAGACCTATTGTACACCCTGTTAATATGACCCTGATGACAGCAACCGGAGACGTATCCCCATTCCATGGTAAAATGCATGTAGATATTACCTTAGGTACACACACAGTCAACCAAGAAGTGTTATTGGCTGATATTGGTAACGATGGAATTATTGGTATTGATTTTCTTAATGCCAATAAATGTGAGATAAATATGAGTAAGAGAAGAATTAAGGTAAATGGCGAACAGATTCCATGTTACGTGAAAGATGAACACAACCTTCCACAATGTTGTCGAATAGCAGTAACTGAAACTGTGACTGTCCCTGCAGACACAGAGTTGATAGTACATGGGAGACCTGTTGATTGTGTACATGACACGGTTGGTCTAATAGAGCCTACCCAATCTTTTGTTACAAAGAGTGGATTGTTAGTTGCCAGAACATTGGTCGATCTCAACAACGGGAATGTCCCAATCCGAGTAGCTAACCTGACCGGGGATTCCATTACTATTCACAAGAAAACAGTTGTTGCTACCTATGAATCCGTGGTTATACCAGAAGTAAGAAAGGTAGAGACCATTACTATCCACGATTCAAATGGAAAGTTGCCAAATGAGGTGCCCCCTCACATTAAAGATATGTTAGACCAAAGTGCTTCCAACTTAACTCCTGACCAGACCTTCACTCTAAAAGAACTATTGATAAAACACGCAGCCTTGTTTCCAAAGTCTTCAGCTGATCTTGGATGCACACACTTAGTGGAACATACCATAGATACGGGACAATCAAACCCAATCAAACAACAACCTTATAGAATTCCCTTAGCGAAACGACTAGCAGCAGAATCTGAGATTAAAGAAATGGCAAAGAACGGAGTTATAGAGCCATCATATGGTCCTTGGACTTCCCCGATCATTATGGTTTACAAACCCGACAATTCAGTTCGTTTCTGTTGTGACTTTAGGAAACTCAATGACTGCACCTTGAAAGACAGCCAACCCCTTCCGAGAATAGACGACACTTTGGATGCACTGACAGGTTCAGCATGGTTTAGCACCTTGGACTTGAAGTCCGGCTTTTGGCAAGTTGGAGTAGCCGAAAAAGACAGACCCAAGACTGCTTTTTCGATCCAAGGTGGTGGACTTTGGCAGTTCACAGTCATGCCATTTGGACTAGCAAATGCCCCTGCGACCTTTGAGCGATTAATGGAAAGGGTACTTTCTGGTCTCGCCTGGTCTATCTGTTTAGTATACTTGGATGACATAATAGTGTTCTCAAAGACATTTGAAGAACATATTGACAGACTGGAACAGGTATTTGAGAGAATGAAAGAGGCTAACCTGAAGCTAAACCAGAAGAAATGTACCTTTCTTCAGGAAGAAGTGTCTTTCCTAGGACACATCATAAGTGGAGAAGGGGTGGCAACTGAACCAAAGAAAATAAAGGATGTGAACAACTGGCCAACTCCAAGAAGTGTCAAGGAGGTAAGAAGCTTCCTTGGACTCTGCTCTTATTACAGGAAATTTGTCTCTGGATTTTCCACAATAGCCAAACCCTTACACAAACTAACTGAAAAAGGTGAAGTTTTCACATGGTCAAACGAATGCGAAGAGGCTTTCGGGAGGCTACAATGTGCTTTAACAAGCGCACCCATCCTTGCCTATCCGACTGCGAATGATCCATTTATCCTGGATACCGATGCAAGTAATGTGGGAATGGGAGCGGTTCTATCACAAGTTCAGAATGGAGTAGAAAGGGTGATTGCTTATTACAGCAAGTGTTTCTCCAAACCTGAACGACATTACTGTGTCACCAGGCGAGAGCTATTGGCGGTGGTTAGTTCCATCAAGAACTTCCATCACTATCTGTTTGGTCGTCATTTTTTAGTACGTAGTGATCATGGAGCCCTGAGATGGCTCATGAACTTTAAGAGGCCTGAGGCGCAGATGGCGCGTTGGCTTGAAACCCTAGCAACTTATGATTTTGAAATCCAGCACCGAGCTGGTAGAATCCACTCCAATGCTGATGCCATGTCCCGGAGGCCATGTGTCTCTAACAGCTGTTCATACTGTGAACGAGCTGAGTTACGATACTCTGAGGAAGAAGTAGATCAGACCAGCGGTTCGCGGAAGGCAACTATCTCTATGGAACCTGAGGGGACCGATACTTGCAGTAACCCTGGCCCAGTGTGTTTCCCCGTTTTGGACATCCCTGCTGGACAGATGCATGCCACTACTGACGGTCACATTGAAAAGAAATGCACGAGTCTCACAGAAGACGAAATAAAGAATGAGAGTGAATCATGGACATTGGCCAATGTCTCGGTTAATGCAGACGAAGCAACGAATGAACTAGTTCGCGTCTGTAGAGACTTGGAGACCGCTAGGAAGACTAAGCAAGACCCTCAATTAGTGGAGGGCATAGACAGAGAGTATATAGCCAAGACCCAGGTAGATGATCAAACTATAGGTCTTCTGAGATCCTGGATGGGTAAGTGCACAAAACCCACATGGTCTGATGTAGCTAGCTCTTCTGTTGAGCTTAAGTATTACTGGAATCGATTAGATTCACTAGTACTGAATGATGACGTATTGTACAAAAAGCGAGAGAGTGACACAGGGAAAGAAACACAGCTACTTGCGGTAGCCCCTCGATCTTTGATACCTGTCATAATGAGAGAGTTACACGATAGCCCCTCAGCAGGACACTTAGGAATCAAGAAAACCCTTTCCAAAATAAGAAGCCGATTCGTCTGGTTCCGTATGAATGCAGATATAGAACGATGGTGCCAGACCTGCGACATATGTGCTTCGAAAAAGAGACCTCCTAAGAAACCTAGAGCCCCCATGAGACAATACCTTGTTGGCGCACCATTAGAAAGGGTGGCACTTGACATAATGGGACCATTACCTCGTAGCCATAAGGGAAACAACTACATTCTAATGATGTCAGATTACTTCACGAAATGGCTCATCGCCATACCGGTGCGAAACCAGGAAGCTCAAACAATAGCAAACAAAGTGGTGGAGAGATTTATTTCAGTGTTTGGAGTGCCTCTACAGATCCATTCCGACCAGGGTACCAACTTCGAGTCTTCTCTGTTTAAGGAAATGTGCCGCATATTGGGCGCAGAAAAGACACGTACAACTCCTATGAGACCCCAGTCAGATGGACTTGTAGAAAGAGCGAACCGTACTATGCAGAACATGCTCGCTTCTTTTGTATCATCTCACCAGAAAGATTGGGACATCTACTTACCTATACTTACCATGGCATACAACTCTTCGAAGCATGAAAGCACTGGCTTTACTCCAAGTATGTTAATGTATGGAAGAGAGATGAACTTACCAATCGATCTCATGTTAGGACACCCTGCCGGGAAGACACAATGTAAAACAGTAACCGACTATGGCTTCGACTTACAAGACCGGTTACTGTCCATCCATGACGTTGCCCGGCAACACCTGTCAAAATCTAGTAACACACAAAAGAGGTACTATGACCATAAAGTAGTGGAGAACGCGTACACTGTAGGTGATGTGGTATGGCTTTATTCCCCCCAATGTAAACCCCACACTAGCTCCAAACTGGCTTGTCCTTGGGTAGGTCCCTATGTAGTGACGGGAAAACTAAATGATGTAGTGTACAGAGTCCAGAACACCCCCAAGTCCAAACCAAAAGTGGTACACCATGACCGGCTGAAACCTTATCAGGGAAGTCACGGACCTTCATGGTACAAACCAGCCTCTGAGAAATAAAGCAGATGGAATGTTTATGGAATGGATGACTACAATGGTACTAAGACACATTTTTATTGTATTACAGGAATACTCATGCAAGATCTGTAGTGAAACTTTCCTGGAATCATACAAGGCTGTGCGACATGTCCAGGAAACACACTCTGGATACACCTACCAGTGCCAGGGATGTAAGAAGAGTTTCCGGCATCGGGATTACCAACACCAATGCCTAGGACAAGGGCGAGTTATCTTGGACCTTGTCAGTCCTTTGGGTGTACGAGGAAAAGAGACCATTATACAGTTCCGGGAATGGAAGAGCAAGGTACAGCCCCAGTTGGTGATTATCACCACGGCCCCAACCAGAGCGGACATCTCACGGAAAGGTGACACCACGGGACCGGTAGACCTGGCGGAATTTAGGGTACCAAACCATGTGGAACCACTGGATACCCCACCTAGAAAGGTGATAGCTAAGGACCAGGAGGATAGCCTGGAAGAGATCACGGATATTGAGCTCGAGCCGCCCAAGGAACGGGTTGTTAAGGTTACCCAGAAACGGAAACGGAAGGCCTTCACCAGTAAGGCAGTCATCAGCTCCTCATCTTCGTCTTCCTCCTCATCTAGCAGCGACGAGGAGACTCCCCAAGTCCATCCCCCCAAGATCCTTAAGGAAACGAGTGTTGCCCCTGTAAGAAAAACTAAACTTACCAAAGTGAAGGCCCCAGTAAAGAAGATATCCACTACAACCGAGCTACCCACAGTGACACCATCCACTACTAGCCAAGTGCCCAAACCTTCTACTGTGCCAAAACCATCCATACCAACTGACGTAACATCACCACATGCCCTTCAAAGGATTCAGGAGGAGAGAGTAGTATTAAACGTTGGAGGCAGACTATTTGAAACCTCCAAGGACACCCTGATGAAGGACCCTAAAGGTCTCTTCCAGGAGGTATTCGTGCCAGGTAGTGAATTTTCCGCCTACCAGACAAACCCAGAAACGTATTTTTTCGACCGCGATGCCTCCCATTTCAGGATATTATTAAATTACCTAAGAAACTCTCTGCAATGTGATCTGAGGACACTACCATGTGAGCGACGGTATTTGTACGAACTTTTATATGAGGCCGAGTTCTTTAAGCTTGAAGGATTACAGGCCGCCTTGTTAGAAAAGATCCACCAGGTAACCGTCATTGGACCCGGCCTTGGGATCCATAACCGGAAATATTTATAAACTCAAATACTACAGTGGTACATATTTCGTGTGTGAAAAGAACGCGGGACGCGCCCCATTTACAATGGACACTTGAACATTTTCGGTATTGGACCAAAAGACTTTGTGAACTTTCAGTGACACTATGGTTGTATAATTCCACATATGCATGTTAAAATTGATTATAAAATATATTTTGAGTAAGTATGCTAACTTAGGAGAAAAGTGTTATGCTATTGATGAGTTAATTTACCAGCTAGATTATGAGTTCAAACGGTAACCTTGTTTACAAATATTTTATGCTAATCCTACCAACCAATTTGGAGACCAAATCCGACTAAGTAGGGGGCATTGTAACGACTGTACTTTTGCCTACCTGCTATAGTCTGTGTATTGATAAATAACTTCGTTATTTGTCTACTACATTTATTATCATAATCAACCTGTATAGTAAATGTCTTTTAGTTACAAATTATCTAATTATGATACCATTTAATATTGTCTCAATTGAAACAGTTCGTGTTTACAAGTTTAGAATCATCGAGTCGGTGATGTGTTTACGTCAGTCGTGCGCTATATTTAGAATCATGCTCTCACATGGACTCGCATGTTTCTGTTCCGTACGGCTGAAATAATCACTTACCGACTCGTAGATACAACAGCCTAGTATGTTGAGAACATTCTCTTTATAGGTTGTAATGTTGTCACTCATGATTTGTTGTATTTTGGTTATAATCCATGTTTATGCTATGCGAAGCCTGTCAAACAGACGACTCATCCGCCATTGCAGATGTGCGTTCGGAGCTCTCGGGCTTTAGTGAGTTATTTAGTTATAGTGTTCTGTGCCGAGAGACCCGAATATACTAAATTCTGATTGGTCAGAAGTTTTGGAGAAGGGTATAAAAGTTGGATCCCGCGGCAGATTCAACGGAGTTCGCCCATGATCTCCTAACCAAGCGGCCAGGCTTTCATACCCTCCTACACAGTCCAAGCAACCAAGCTTTTCCAGAGTCCAGCTAAACACCAGAACCATGGAGGTAACTACTACCGTAGTGACTAAGTAGGCCTACCGTCTCCCGTCTCCAATACACTATATATAGATACAAGTCTCCTTAATGACCTTATGTTATGATACGCCAGGAATAACACCAAAATATATTCTAAGTCCGCCTAACCACGGGTGTGATACTTAGCTATTTTGGACTAGTATAGTTTACTTAGACATACATTAATGTTCATTATTTATGAAAGGTCTTAGATAAAACATTTTCTAATATTAAAACCTACTTCGGTACATCCACGTCCGAAGTTGTTACAATATATTAAGGATACTTAGCCCTTACTATTTTTTAAGTATCCATTAAGGATACTTACTCATCACTTTTATTTATAACGGCACTCCGTCGTTATTCTCAATTTCTATTATATATTAATTAAGGATGCCATTGTGTACAGTGTTTGAAGATATGAAGTTGGGATTTGAATAAATATCAAAGTTAAATTGTATTTCTGTCTCGAGTTGTTGTTGGAGTAGAGTAGTTAACAGAACAACCAAAGGAGCCAAGAGCCAGGACCAGACGGATCCAAGATGGAGTAACCAGAATATACCTTTGATCAAAAAGTATACACTAACACTGGAAACACACTCCACGACGTTACACATCTATGTCCATATGTCAGTCTTCCCATTTATGTCCATATGTCAGTCCTTTCATATATGTCCATGTCAGTTCTTCCATGGACGAAACAGCGTCGCCGAGAGAGAGAATACCTGAAATCAGAAGGTAAAAAGTCAGAAACAAGGGGAGTATATTCCGTCAAAATGACGTCACATTCAAAATACACACCTATTGGAAACAGGGGGAGATAATTCAGTCGGTAACACTAAAATTGATGACGTCACACGCAAAAAAACACCCACATGATGAAGTGACGTAGATCGGCGGCCGTAGGTTAAGGGGGTTGCTAAGGCGCCATCTTGGATCCAAGATGGCGGATTTCCTACATATTTTAAAAATACATGTATAGTTTCTTTTACACAGTCAAATAGATAAATTCAAAATCATTAATTTTTTTAATCAAATTCAGTATGAGATCAGGTTGTAATAACAACAACACCATTATCATAGAAAAGTATCATATTGTGTGTGCGTAAGAAATCCGGTCTTGGGTCAATGTAAAAGAGCAACTTGACATTATGCTAGATACATATATATGTCAGGATTAGGGTTGAAGGTTGTACTTTTTCCATTTTCGTAGAGTCTACAAACCCGGGTTCGAAAAGGCAATCCCGTGATAATCATGAAAAGCCAAATTGATATATATCGTATATATATAATATATTAGATGATATCGCATCGCACACAGAAGTTTAATTTTTGTATTGAAAGCCAGTGGTACATTATATAATTCAATGGAATATAGATGTTCATGAATCCCTATGCAATGTAGTACTAGTGTGGACCATACTTCAATTCGTATCATAATGACTATATGCGTTACGGTATATTACGGTATATAATTGTTATGTATTTGTCACACAAAAGGTCCATGGGCATCAAACACAACCTCACACAGTAAACGCCATTACCGGAACTACCTTTATTGCTTGAACATATTACTACGCATGTACACAATATGGAGGTTCCCGGAATCGGACCTAAATCCGGAATATACAACACTCCTCCCTTTTTAACTTTAACCCTTATTAGCTAATATATATGAACATTTAATATTAAATGAATGGCTGGATGTTATTAATAGAACATTAACTCGGTGTAACTCTATTCGAACAAGAACACACACAAATTCAAAATAATGCTTCCTGCACAGATACACAATGTCATATTGGGTATAAAAATAAAACGTGTTGACATGTATAGTTTCATTGCATGTCCGACTAGAAACACACTAAGTAGTTATACGACACTCTACAATCTCTACAAATCCATTCGCTCTGGGGTCTTCTTAGACCTCTTGGAGCGTCTCAACATGGGTGTCACTCCTGGTGTGACCTTCGACAGGGTAATACCAGTGTCCCACTGAACCTGACTCGCGCTTGTGTCCATTGGCACGGACACCACTGATTCGGAAATGTCTGTTTCCACCACCTGTGGTGCATCGTCACCAAACAGCGAAGGACTGCGTAGCGATGGAGAGCATGAACCGAGTATTTGGTCCGCATGACGACGCCAACACTGCCCTGGTGCCACTTGGACCTGATAGGACAAAGGCCCAGATTGCGACGCGATTACACCGGGCGTCCATTTATGATTTCCGCGATAGTCACGCACTGAAACTGGGTTCCCAACATCGAATTCGCGCACTCTCTGCATGGAAACGCTCTCCAACAGACCCTGATCGTTCGCTACTGACATAGACTTGCTCAAGTTCGGCTTTATAAGATCCAAACGCGTTTCGATAGTGCGTCCCATGAGTAGACTTGCTGGTGTTTCAGATTGGGGTGTGGTTCGGTATGCCAGTAAAAACTTTGAGAGTTTTTTTTGCATGGTACCACTGTCATACTCCGAAGCTTTCATAGCCTGCTTGAATGTCTGTACAAACCTCTCTGCCAACCCATTCGTTCGCGGATGATACGGTGCCGATGTCGTGTGACGGATACCGTTCATTTCCATGAAAACTGCGCACTCCGCTGATGTAAATTGAGGACCATTGTCGCTCACCAGTTGCTCAGGAATACCGTTTCTCGCGAACACGGATCGGAGTACCTCAATAGTATGCGCGGACGCTGTTGACTTCATCGCGATTACTTCGGGCCATTTCGAGTGAGCGTCCACCATGATAAGTAACATGCTCCCCAGGAATGGTCCCGCAAAGTCAATGTGGTCTCTCTGCCACGGCTGAGTAGGGAACTCCCACGGATGAACTGGGGCTTCCCTCGGCGCGTTTCTATTCTCTTGGCATCACGCGCACGACTTTGATAGATTCTCAATATCGGCATCTATCCCTGGCCACCATACGTAGGAACGGGCCAATGACTTCATTTTGACAACTCCAAGATGACCCTCGTGGATCACCCTAAGAACCTCGTCACGGAGGCTGCTGGGAATGATTACACGTATACCCCACAGCAAACACCCTTGCTGCACGGTCACCTCATTCCTTCTCTCATAATAGGCGTGTAGCTCTTTATCTACCGCGTCACTCCAGCCTCGCATAGCCGCGTCATACACTCGCGACAACATTGCATCCTTCATGGTCTCTTTCCTTAGCCTGTTAGCGGTCACAGGCAGCTGTTCCAACTGCGACACCTGGTATACATGCGTGTCATCCAATATGTCCTCCTCTTCTGACTGGACCTTCGGATCGAGCGTCATCCTCGACAGACCATCCGCGTTTCCATGTAGTTTTGTGGTACGATACTCAATGGAATAATCGTGTCCCGCGAGGAACATCGCGTACCGTTGCAGTCGGGCTGCCGTAGTCACCGACGTACCCTTCTGAAGGTTGAAGATTGACACCAATGGTTGGTGATCAGTCACCAAGGTGAAATGTCTGCCATAGAGATATGGGTGGAACCGTTTGATCCCCCATACGATACCTACTGCCTCCTTGTCGATCTGAGCATATTGCTTCTCAGCTGCGTTCAAGGAGCGCGACGCGAACGCTATCGGCTTTTCATCACCGGACGGTAGCTTATGAGACAAAACCGCTCCGAGCCCGAAAGGCGAGGCGTCACAGGAAAGTATTACGGGAAGGTTCGGGTCGTAATGTGTCAGTACCCTTTCTGACACCATCATCTGTTTCACTTTGTCAAACGCCACTTGGCAGTCTTGTGTCCATGACCATTTTGTGTCCTTCTCCAGAAGCTGATGTAACGGCCTCAACACTGTGGATAAATTCTGGAGGAATTTACCGTAATAGTTGACTAAACCCAGAAACGCACGAAGCTGGGTGACAGTTTCAGGTACCACGGCGTTGACTTCCGCGTCAACTTTGTCTTGCGTTTTGTGTAGACCTTCCCCATCAATCACATGTCCACATAATTCAATCTTCTCTTTGAAGATGTTGCATTTGTCAATGTTTGCATGTAGTCCATATTTCTCCAGTCTACCCAGTACCTCGGCGAGGTTCCTCAGGTGTTCATCATCAGTGCGACCAGTGATTATCATATCGTCTATGATACATTGCACTCCTGGGATACCTTGTAAGACTTGTTCCATCGTCCGTTGCCAAATCGCTGGAGCGGAGGCTATACCGAACACGAGTCGGTTGTACCGAAAGAGCCCACGATGTGTGTTGATTGTCAGGTACTCTTTGTCCTCCTCAGCCACCTCCATTTGTAGGTAGGCGTGCCTTAAGTCGAGTTTCGTAAAGTGCTTTCCGCCCGACAGATTAGCGAATATGTCCTCAATCTTGGGTAGGGGATATTTGTCAACTTGAAGCATGGAGTTTACAGTTACTTTAAAGTCCCCACATATTCTAATGCTAGAGTCTTTTTTAGGAACTACCACAATGGGCGTGGCCCAGTCACTGTGGTCTATTGCCGTTAGTATGCCGAGATTGACAAGGCGATCCAACTCTTTCTCCACTGCTGGTCTCAGTGAGAAGGCTAGCGATCGTGCCTTAAAGAACTTGGGTGAGCTCCCTTCCTTAAGAATGAATTTGGCCTTCATACCCTTAAGAGTTCCCAAGGACTGATTAAACACTCCCTTGTACCTTTCTATCAGCTGAGTTACTGTAACATGAGACGATTCCATCGAGTTTACAGTATGGATCTCCGCCCAATCCAGCTTTATATGGCTCAACCAGTCTCGTCCAAATAACGGTGGACCCCCCTTCTCTATCACGTACAAGGGGAGGTTACTCCTTTGCTGATTCATACCGACATTTACGTCTATCACGCCTAGAGGGTTAATTACCTCTCCAGAGTAGGTTTTTAGTTTCACCGACGTGGGAGTGAGCTCCTTCCGACCGAAATATTTTTCAAAGTCTTTCTTTGATATAACCGATACCGCAGAGCCAGTGTCCAGCTCCATGTCCATCCCAGCACCATTCACCATGGGCGTCACTGAGATGGCACTAGAATGACGCCGCCCTAACGAGTAAATACCGAGGCTTGCGATTAATTCATCGTCATGATTGTCGTGCTCGTCGTGGTCAAGCGCATGTACCTTCGAATTCCTACCCCTTTTACTTTTCGCCTGCAAACATGCCTTCAAAATGTGCCCAACTTCGCCACATCCATGACACTTGCCATTTTAAAAATAACAGTTCCACTCGTCATGACCTGTCTTGGTACACCGAAAACATGGTTTTCGTGGGGTTGGGGCTGACTTATAATTATGTATACCCTTTTTACCTGGTTGATAGTCGCGCGGATGGCCGTGGGCAGCCTGTACCTTATGAACCGGCACCGATTTGTGCCTTCCTAGTTCGACCGCATCGCGAGTGTCGGTTTCCATGGCGATTGCGATGTCTACCGCATTCTGATAATTGAGTTCCCTCACAGACAGTAACTTTTTCTGTATGCTGTCATTTAGTAACCCACATACGAGACATTCGCGCAAAGCTTCCTGCAGTGTATCCCCGAATTCACAATGTTCTGAAAGCTTTCTGATCTGTGCCACATAATCCCGTACTGCCTCTCCCTCCTTCTGGTCGTGCTTATGAAACCGAAAGCGTTCAGCGATCACTAACGGACGTGGGGAGAGATGTGTCTTCAATATCTCGACCAGTTGCTGGTACGTTTTGGTTGCCGGTTTGTCTGGTGCCGTGAGGTTACGCAGTGTACCGTATGTGCGCCCACCGATAAGGCTAAGTAACGCGGGGGTTTTCAAGTCATCTTCCACGGCATTTGCAACAAAATATTGCCCTAGCCGCTCACTATATGCATCCCAAGTTTCAACGGTCTCGTCGAAAGAGTCTATCTTGCCGATTACACGACCTGCCATCCTTATATGATTTATCTAACGGGGAATACTATTCAAAGTCAAAATTGCACCGAACGTGTCAATCGCACACAACCACGTGGTCGGAATTGACCGTTTCAAACGACAGACTTTATACACTATTTCTACCTCTTCAGTTCATTTTAAATCGATGTAATACCTCTCCGTTACCTCCGTTAGCCAATTCAGTTATTTATACCAATGAAACAGGAGAGGGAAAATGCACGACCAGACCGGGGTTCCGACCCGTGACCCACCGAACTCTAAACAGACGCTCTACCAATTGAGCTATCTGGTCGCCGACGATCGACCCAGTCCAGTTCCGCTACATTCCCCCTCCGTTTTCTAAGTCTTCCATTATAATTATTTGATTAGTACAGTATATAATGCTTACTCTAAAACTATTATCAGGTGGTTACACTGTTTTATTCCATAGATTAAAATGTATACTGTATAATTGTATTAAGCGTTCGTCTCTAGGTAGCACCTATTTAATATTATTTTAACAAATACAAATTACATTGAACAAATGCTGAAGCCCTTAATCCCTAAATCAGTGAAGTGCATCTAGACATGCTTGTTCATTACTGTCAATTCAATCAATGAAGTGCATTACGTCGGGACAATTTCTTCATATAAATTCCAGTAAATACGATTTACTTCCCCTGAACTGGTAGCATAACTCCGTTTTTTAAGACAAGACCAGGGACAGTATATACACTATACGTCCCTGACAAGACTAAATCATTCGTCCAATGTTATTATTTACATAATAACTAGTTTGAAGGTATTTTTGGGTCGTTTGTGGTGTGTTTGTGGGTCTTTTGGGGTGTTTTTGTGTAGTTTTGGGTGTTTTTGTGAAAAAAAACAAAAGTTATTATTTTTCTCTTGAAAACAATTATCCGGATTTTATAATTTGTTCCATTTCGTATATTAGTAATATTGATATGATTTCGGAACATTTCTACATTTTACGCTGAGCATATTGTATAATCAAACAACATCGAACGGCGCTTTCAACTTTAAAGATGGCGGACATGGTGTCTGCTTTTGAGGTTCTACCAGATAATATCGTGCTTAACATCCTTTCCTTCCTTTCTTGTGAAGATTTATGTGACATACGTAATGTTAACCATATGCTGAGAAGGCTTTCATCTGATAGGAGCCTTGTCTGGTAATATACATTCTATAAATAGTATTCAAGGTACATCGGTGTTTCACTACGACAAAAACAAGTCGTTGTCAGTACTGTGCTATATAGGACCACAGGGGCTTGCATAGTCTATAGACTTATATGATAAAATTAGCTTGAAATACCTATATATAAAGTCTTAATATATAGGTATTCCAAGCTAATTTTATCATATAAGTCTATACAAGTCCATGTGACTTTATAAATAGGTATTTCAAGCTAATTTTATCATATAAGTTTATACAAGCCCCTGTGGTAGGACGAGGAACAGTGATACATATGGGGTTCGAGGCTCTCCAGCCCTATGCTCTACCCCTGAGCTGAAGGGAAATCGAATTCCGTACAGCTGATGCTTGTAAGGCAACCTAATCATGTGCACATCTTTTACACTATTCTCCCCTTTTTTTCAAACACCAACTCAGGTTCCTTGAATCCCCGCCAAGGGTTCTCCTACAGGGCTCGGGTAAAAAGTTTAAAACCACTAGGCATAGCACTGCATGTGCCTAGTGTCAGAAAATATCCACTCGTCACTCAGAATTTTTTACTATATATACATGACCTGAGATGCAGACATTTGACTTTTCTTAAATCTTATTATTTTGTAACTGACCGTATTTACTATTATTAATATGAATAATATATGAATGAATTAATGTACAATTTGCCAAGCCTAAAATATAAAATTTCTCTTTCATCTATTATTACACTAACAGACGTCTCGGATTGGGTGCATCACAAAATACAATTGTTAGTTTTAAACTTTGATATAATTCAGTGGCGGATCCAGAGGGGTTTTTTGGGCTTCAGGAACACCCCNNNNAATTTTCTTTACAAATCATGTATTTTCACCATTTTCCTCAATTTTTCCCCACATGGAAACCCCCCCAGATAGGTCTCTGGATCCGCCACTATATATATATGCCACACAAATACTAGGACGTTATATTTTCCGATTTAGACAGTGGCAGCTTAAGCTTTAATTTATTGGTCATAATAAATACAATCTCATTCTGTGATGACACCTCACACATAAAATAATTGTCTTATTACGTTTCAGCGTCGTTGCACTAGTGTCAGTGATACTTTTCTGAAACTTCGTCGGAGGAAGTGAAATGTACATTGTTTGTTTCTACACATCAGTGCTGGGAATCGGTTGGTTTTGGAGGTCAATTATCAGACATTCAAAATCGATCAGTAATCGATTATCGGTTGAAATAATGCCAAATAGAAAACATTTAATAAATTGACATTTTGTCCAATCATTAATAAATATCGATATAACTATGCGTTAATAATTTTATCTAAGAGACGTTCATATGATGAGAAAAAGGTACTTCAGAAATTGACAATGACAGGTAGATTACCATTTAAGAAGTGAACATACCTTTTCCTATATCCTGCAGATAAGTCATGATGATAGCGATTGTAACACAAACAAATCAGGTTATGCATTTTGGGTTAAGTACTTAATATGACATTTATTATTGTTAATTAAGTTAACCTATTTGAAATTTTACATCCCACCATCCCTTCGCTGAAAAAGAAAGTGTTTTCATTCCATTTGCCGTACTTCCGGATTTCGTCAGTTATATATTTAGCCGTACATACAAAACACTACACTGACCTTTCATCACAGTGTGTTTAATATCTAGGAAAATAATTAAAAATCATGAGTCACTGAGGTATGGAATAAGATTGTCAAAGTTCATAACTGAGGCTACTTTTTATTAGATTTTTTAATTAGCTCATCTGGCACGAAGTGCCAGTACGTTGAGCTTATGGTATGGTGTGTTGTCCGTCGTCAATCAACTTTTTCTTTGAACAACTTCTTCTTAAGAACTGGAGGACCTAAGGCCATAGTATTTGGCCAGTAGGTACCTTGGACAGAGTGCTATGAAGTTTTCTCAAATAAATAACTTTCAATTTGACCTACTTTCAAGGTCACATGGGTTAAATATGTAACAACATTAACCTTTAAACAACTTTTTCTGAATAACCAAGAGGTCTAGCAGTATAGGTACATTGGACAGATTGCTATAAATCAAAGCTTCCTCCAATAAATTACTTTGATCTACTTTCAAGGTCACAGGGCTAAGATATGTAAATATAACTGGATCGAGACCCTGAGTTATGGTATTTGACCAGTAGTGTGCTGGGATAGACTTATATAAAGTTTCATTTAGTCTGGAAAATTCTTAAGCCAAGGAGAATCAATATATATATATGAGATTTAATTAATTTAACTTATACGAAAAGTGTTAAATGTTTCTAAAATAAAACAGTATGATAGCACTTGAACAAAGTTAACCAAATTTAAATGCTCCTCTAACTATTGTCAAACATCTCGTAACAGTATTGCATCTCAAATTAAATATTGAATGTTGGCAATGCAGAGGGAATTTAATTCCCTTTAGCTCACCGATCACTGGCAGAGCGTCCAACTAGGATTAGCCTGGATCAGGTTTGATCCCCTATGGAAGAACACTATTCTCTTTCCTGTTACAAATGGATGCCAATTGTGCTCCCTGGTAGTCCCTGTGGTGACAGGGAGTTAAAACCTGGGTAGTGGATTCGTTCGAGGGCGTACACATTTAAAAGGAGGAGGGGGGAGTGTGGCAGATTTTAATTGTAAATATAGGATTACAGTCGCCTTCTAGCTTCTAGCTAGAGTGAATTTCCCTTTATCTTAGTGGTAGAATGTCTGACTAATTAGTCTGGGACCCGGGATTCAATCTTCAGTGGAATCACACAATTCTCTTTCCTGTTACTATATCTAATACAGTCATAAATTAAAATGTAAAACAAAAACAAATTGATGTTGCTTTTTTAACAGGAGCAGATGGGCTGAGTTTTGTTTTAGTTCATTTCACTTGAATGTATATATAGAAGCCTGTACATTCAGGATAAAATCTGTAGAAAAAAACCACTCATGCCGCCACTATCCAGTGCCATGGGCACTTTGATTTTTCTTGGTCATTGACGACAAAACCCTCTTTGAATGCAGTGTTGGATGCAAATTGGTTTCCTAAAAAAACATTGTATTTAAAATCATTATTTTCCTCTCCTAGTGACCTTGCGTCCCCAGCCGGGTTGATCTCGGATAAGTTAGGGAGACGGTTGGCAGGATCTGTAAATCTTGTTTGATGTTTGCAGAAGATTCATCAGTATAAATTAAAGACAATAACTTTTGACAAATGTTGAAAAACAAAACTGATATGAAATTTTCAGTAAACAAAAAAACTTCAAGGCTGTAAGCTGAGTGAATATACAGTAGTACCGGTATATTGACCAATTTATCATTTTGTCACCGTCTTTTGATGATTGATGAGTCTCAAGTTCAATTCCAGATACTTTATGATTAATATTCATTGTGATATATTTAAAGTAAGTCTGTATAGAGCAATCAAATGCTCTTGCAAAATCTTTGGTATTGAAAAGAAAACTTAAATTGACAATTTACTTTTTCTTTCCAGGAATTCAGATTTTGAAGGATGTTACAAAACGAGTGAGGAGGCATTTGAGATGTACATTCAAGCTGGTGGTCCTCTCATTCATTGTTTGAACCTTAGTCACTGCTATTGGCTGTCTGGACGCAGTGTCTCTAATGCCCTGAAGCTGTGTATGAATCTCAAAGAACTGTATATCCTAGACATCAGTCTAACTGCCAAGAAACTAATCAAAATTCTCTGTGGTCTTCCAAATCTAGTCACGTTTGCCTTTACTGTCACCAATATGGATGAGTTTGATACAGAGTTGGAAGGGAATAATGCAGCTCGGCTTACAATGATGGGGATCAAGCACCTCACCATTCACTTTAAAGTACCCCTCTCCTTAAGGACAGAAGCATCTATCTCTGTGCAATTCTTGCAGAAGAAAACCACATTTTTCGAACATTGTAGAGACTTGGAGAGCTTCCATGTGCTAGGTCATCCAAATTTAGGTTGCGGTCTTCCAAAATTGCTCCTACAACCCAATGTAGACAAAGTTGAAAATTTGAAAAATGTGAAGGAGATTTCACTGAACTATGCAATAGACCCAGCTGCTAGGATATTCTATTATGGCACGTTGCTCTCTGTGGCAAAACTACAGTTACAGATGACTACTGTGCTAAATCCCTCTGCAAACTTTGGAAGTCAAATAAGGTCAGACTTTTGGAATATCTTTTGGAAGTCACAGTATCAATTGCAGAATTTGGACATATCCAGTATTTCTATACAGAAGATTTTCACACATGTGTTTGATCCAGATGTTCCAAAACCAAACTTGCAATACCTAAATTTGTCTGACACCTACTTCACTACCACAGAAGGACCTACAAGTAACCTTACATCACTTATATGTGTCTGCCCGAATCTGAAGAGTTTGAATTTGAGGAATAGTCAGATCATCTTCACCAACCCAAGTAGAGAGGTACATTTGCTACAAAATAAGGTCTGAAATTCCACTGCCAGTCTATACTAGACATGTACAAATCCACCAGCCAATTGTCAGGGGCAAGTACTTAAATCTAGTACATCGGCAAATACAAATTTTCAATACATAATATAGGTACAGATGTACATATATAATGTACTTTAAAAATATTGGTCAGACTATATATATATATATATAGTGAAAAATAGTTTTAAACGTCCATTTGACGGTAAAAATATACATAAAGCAAAACACGAAGACTAGTATAATCGGCTAGCGCTTTCGCCCATCTTTGGGCTCTTCAGGCGATTTTTGTACAAATATATATATATATATATATAGGAATTTTTCAAAATCTCAGCCAGGCTTTAAAATAGTTTGAAATACAATTTAGCTTCAAACTAATTCAAATAAGTACTGTAATTTCATTACACCTGAAAAATATAATGTTTTGTAGCATATATTGTACCGGTAATTAAGTTTAAATTGCTCGCTCAGTCTTTGCTTGGCAAAGGGACCAGTTGATCTTGAAACATTGCGATATGTTTATACGTACATATAGTGTAGAAAGTAAAACTTTAATATTCATATTTCTTAACTGATGAATCTTATTGAAGATAGCTTAGAAGCATAATACTTGTGTTTTTCAACCATAAATCAGTAAGGGATTTTGTTTAAAATAAAGAAGGCTTAGAAAGACATGTATATATATAAATAAAGTATTAAATACTCACCACTATTTCTTGACCTGGCAATTTTGGTGCCCTAATGATTTAAGTTATATTATTTCCAGACATTGAACAGAGCATGAGTCATAAAGTTGTCTTCCTTCCTTACTTGTGTTTCCATGATATTTAATACTAAAACACAGTGTATTAACAGTATGTTAATCCAGAGGAAGGAACTTCCTTTGGAAATGGTACCGTCTAAGATGTAATTGTATTTGTAGGATTTATATCTGCATTCATTACTATATAAGTGGGAGTGATCCCGTCCATCATTTAGACGTGTAGAGACATTATATATATACAAACAACAAAAGATGTATTTTCTCACTGCATTTGCTTATAATTAGATTATCAGTCCCCTTCCAGTTCCCTATAAGTTTGCACTCCATCCGTCTGTCCTTCCGTCCAAGAAGTCATGTAAAGACGATTATATTAGGATTCTGTTGTCACTAATTATTGTAAGGTTATGTGTAGCTTTATGTAAAAACAATTATATAAGAACCGTTATCAGTTAACCACTCCAGTTTTTCCATCTCGGGGAATATCCTGGAAACTGAAAGTAGTGAGGCATTTCCCTGGAGGATTATCAGTTTATTATGTCTCCCCTTCGAATGAAGGAAGACATTGTATTAGCACTACTGGGTTCTTCTTCTTCTAGTTCTTCTTATCGCAACTTGTCCGGGCCATAACTTTTGAACCGTTAAAGATATCTTGATGAAACTTGAGGTATGCATGCACCACTCACAGCAAGTGTTCAGTGCACTGGAATTAGGTCACTGTGACCTTCACCTCAAGGTCAAAGGTCTAATAAGTGCAACATTTTCAGTAAATTCTTGTCCGGCCTGTAAATTTTAAACCGTTAAAGATATCTTGTTGAAACTTGAAGTATACCTGCATCACCCACAGAAGATGTGCAGTGCACTAGAATTAGGTCTCTTGCTTTACTATATACAGAGTTATGGCCCTTTGTAGTCCGATTTAGTCGACGTCTGGTTGTTTGTTTCTGAAAATCGATTAATAGATCCTTGTTTAGTTTGACTAATTTAAGTATTAACAAAAAATAATTCATATACTTAGTGTTATTACTGCCGACAGCGAGTGATTGGTTGCCAGGTGGACCAGCTAGCCAATCAGAACTTGCGTTTCAATAGAAATGCTGCATGGCTCTGTCATTGCTTTTCAATATGGCAAACCAGGACATTTCAGAGATTAAACTCTATGATCATCCGGGGGCTACTGATTTAAACGTTCGGAAGGTATTGTTTGTCCTTAGCTGGATATAAATAAAACGCTTTGTCGAAAGTGTCGGCTATCTTACAAATAAAATGTTAAGTTTGACGGGGTGTCATCAGGTGAATACCAATCCATCACAGCATTTCTGAATACGAGATGCAGCTGTCGCAGCATAATTGACATCAATTGCAAACATCATCAATTTCATTTCCAAATACATATATTTTTCAATGAATATAAGGTTCTGTCAACAAACTTATTGTTTTTTGTATGAATGTTGTGTGTTATTAGCGAAATTCTCTAATGTCGAGGTTTCCCCGTTAATGATTTTTAGTAAAAGTAGTTTTCGGAAAGCGAATACCTGGTATAACCTTAAATTACTGAATTTAAGTTCAATTTGATCGATCATTAGTCGATCATCAGTCACTTGTCACTCGATTGGAAGTGATGATCGAGTATGAATTTAAAATCGATTCCTAACACTAGCTCTTTGTTTATTTTTAATACCGAAGTTTGTCCGGGGCATAAGTTCCATGTTATTATGTCTCCCCTTCGAATGAAGGGAGCCATATTGTATTAGTACTGGTATAATCAAACTTGTCAGGGCCATAAATTTCAAACCGTTAAAGATATCTTGATCGAGCTTGAACTATATCTGCATCACCCACAGAAGGTGTGCAGAGCAATATAATGGTAGGTCTCATGCTTCACTATATACAGAGTTACGGCCCTTTGTTTAATTTTTAGCCTCCCAGCTTCCTGCGCAGACGACACATCCACTTTCGTGGAATTCTTGTTAATTTTTTATACTGGAGTTTTTCTATTGGCTAATAAGGGGAGACATATGTTTTTGTTAACTAGTTTCACCTACGTTGACCAAACTTACCATATTTATGAATCTTACGAAGGCCATTCTCTTGCATAGTAATCGGGTCTCGTGCCCCACTATATATGGAGTTATGGACCTTTGTTTATTATGTTATTACTTTTAAACCTGCATCACCTACAGAAGGTGTGCAGTGCACTGGAATTAGGTCTCATGCCCAACTATATACAGAGTTATTGCCCTTTGTTTATTTTTAATACCGAGGTTTGTCTGGATCATGCATGTTATTTGTAGGTTCCATGTTATTTCACCTATGTTGACCAAACTTAGCATATTTATGTATCTTGGGAAAGGGGAATCTCTCACACTGAAATCGGGTCTTGTTCCCGACTAAAAATAGAGTTATAGCCCCTTGTTTATTTTTAATACCGAAGTTCGTCCACGAAAAAAAATAGGAGTGTCGCATTCTAAAGTTGAGTCCTGTGCCCCACTATATAAAGAGATATGGCCCTTTGTCAATTTTTTATACCAAAGTTTGTCTATTTGCTAATAAGAGAAGAGTTTCTAGCTGTTAACTATATCCTAATATGATAATTATTGTCTTTATATAAAGCTACACATAGCCTTGAGAATTTTAGTGATAACAGAATCCTAATATAATTCTCTTAACATAAAGCTTCACATAGAATTACGAGGTTTAGTGATAACAGAATCCTAATATAATTGTCTTTACATAAAGCTTCACATATATAACCTTACATGGTTTAGTGATAACAGAATCCTAATATAATTGCCTTTACATAAAGCTACACATAGCCTTATAATTACGAGGTTTAGTGACAACAGAATCCTAATATAATTGTCTTTACATAAAGCTTCAAATAGCCTTACGAGGTTTAGTGACAACAGAATCCTAATATAATTGTCTTTACATAAAGCTTCACATAGCCTTACATGGTTTAGTGACAACAGAATCCTAATATAATTGCCTTTACATAAAGCTACACATAGCCTTATAATTACGAGGTTTAGTGACAACAGAATCCTAATATAATTGTCTTTACATAAAGCTTCACATAGCCCTACGAGAATTAGTGACAACAGAATCCTAGTATAATTGTCTTACGTGGTTTAGTGATAACAGTATCCTAATATACAATGTAACTGTCTTTACATAAAGCTACACATAACCTTACGGGATTAAGTGATAACAGAATCCTAATATAACTGTCTTTACATAAAGCTATACATAGAATTACGAGGTTTAGTGATAACAGAATCCTAATATAATTGTCTTAACATATATAGCTTCACATGTACATGTTTGAAGTGGGACACACACATCCAGAAGATTGTTGGCAAGGCAAACAGGACGCTTGGCTTCCTGCGTAGGAACCTGCAGATCTCTTCCACCAAGATAAAATCTATGGCATACTTCGCGCTAGTAAGACCTCTGCTGGAGTATGCCTACACTGTTTGGGACCCCCACACCAAGGTGAACATCAATCAAATCAAGCAAATACAGAGAAGAGCAGCGCGGTACGTGACCTGCCGCCACAGAAACACCTCTAGCGTCTCCAGCATGCTCGACGTACTTGGATGGAGATCACTCCAGAAAAGACGCCATGACGCTCGCCTGGCTATGTTGTACAGGATCAACCGAGGCCTAATTGCGATACGTAAAGGTCGGTAGACTGCTATTACCATGCAGACTCGGTAGATCTGTCCATGCCAGATCCTACCAGCTCCTCGCAAGCAGGATCGACACAAGGAAGATGTCCTTCTTCCCCAGGACGGTGAGAGACTGGAACGCCCTCCCGCCAGACATCACCCTCACCGACACACTGGACGCCTTCAAGGCCAGTGTGTCAAAACTCTGAGGTCTTTTGTTTTTTATATAGTTTTTATTAACTTTTTAACCTTTTGACGTCAGTCCAGCACCATGCACACCACCTAGGAACATAGCAGAATCTTCAACCTGTTGAAGGAGCTAGGCTATTACCAGGCAGAAGCAGAAGAAGCCTTACGAGAATTAGTGATAACAGAATCCTAATATAATTGACTTTACATATATAGCTACACATAGCCTTACAAGAATAAGTGACAACAGAATCCTAATATAATTGACTTTACATATATAGCTACACATAGCCTTACAAGAACTAGTGATAACAGAATCCTAATATAATTGACTTTACATAAAGCTACACATGTACATAGCCTTATGAGAACTAGTGATAACAGAATCCTAATATAATTGTCTTTACATATATAGCTACACATAACCTTACATGGTTTAGTGATAACAGAATTCTAATATAATTGTCTTTACATAAAGCTTCACATAGCCCTACGTGGTTTAGTGATAACAGAATTCTAATATAATTGTCTTTACATAAAGCTTCACATAGCCTTACGAGAATTAGTGACAACAGAATCCTAATATAATTGTCTATATGTCAAGGTACACATAATTGATAGTCCATGATCAGTTTTTCTAGAACCTGCCTTGAGGCTTGCATTTGGTAGGCCCTATCGACACCTGTACCTGTCTTAGCAAACCAAAATACACAAAAGGTACTTTGTTGGACTGTTTCAGAAGGTAGACGTAGCTGGAATCTCTAGTCTTGTGTCAACATGTCGCTGTTTGTCTGAAGTCAACCTAGGTGGGATACACATGCATGATCCGGAGGTCTTGTCCAGGGTGTCACAGCTGTTGGCTAGCTGTCCAGGTAAGCCAGATAAAAATCTCAACTACAGACAAGTGATCACATATAAGGATGCTTTACTCTTTTTGAAAATGATTTTTTTTTCTACCAGTTAAAAAAATGAACTGCATTTTGGATCAGGGCTGCCACTGGTCAGCGCGAGCTGTACATCTGCAAGCCATTACTTTTGTCTGAGTTGTCAAGCCATTACTTTTGTCTGAGTTGTCAAGGCAATTCTTGCAAGCTTTAGACAAAAGTAGATATTATAACCGGTGTTGCATCAGTTGTATTGGGCCCATTGACATTGAGGAAACAGATCCTGATAAGTGAATCACAAGACGAGTATCACTACATGCACATTGGCTGATCAGGAAGACTATTGGATCACTTTGTTCAAACACTACTGCGCATGCATCCGACAAATTTACGTGTTCACCTTATCAAATCTTGTGCATGTGATCTTTGTTTACCTTTTACAGTATCAGAGCGAGCATGAATATGTCGGATATGTTGTACAGTCAAGCTTGTGTTAAGAGGTCACCTACGGCAGATCATGATGATGGCTGCTTAATCAAGGTTCAACTATATAAAGGACATAATCCAAAATGTTTTATAACATCGATCTACCAACAAGTTTACATAGAGCAAAATTCGCTTAAATCAGTGTTATAACATGCTGATGAAAATCTTTGAAATATTGTAAATACAATCATGTACCTATATATTATTTCTTACAATATATAAGATGTAATATTCAATTAATATGATATCATTTAAATGCACCAAATTTTTAAGGATTTGACTTTGAAATAAATAGGAAAAATAGATGTACTTTGTGTCGTAAGTTTGACATCATGTTTGGTATTATGTTTTGTGGGAGTATCATACTATAATATGATCATGTTTGATTAAGAAGTTGACCTATATATATATATAGCAGTTCTTGCATTAACTTACTTAGATCACTGTATGTTTACAAGTCCTGCTTGAGGGTGTACTATTTCACGATTGATAGCAATTGTAATCCAGATGTAGTTAATATGGGCAGATTGGTTGAGTGGTTAACACATCGGCCTTCCACGCAGGCGGCCGAGGTTCGATCCCCGAGGTCGTCCCACGCATGGAATATCAGAGAAAGTGTTTTTCTCCTGCCCACATGTACAACTCCAACAACCCAGGTGGAGTATAAAATGGTCTGGGGTGGATGACTTGCAGTATCTGTGATGTAGCATTCAAGTGAGGTGGCACTATAAATGATGCCGTTGGAAGCACGGTCCCACTACAAACAGAACACATTACATCTCCAGCACACACGCAGGCATACACATAGGGAGATATTAGCCAGGTGGCATAGGGCTAGTAGTTAGCGCCTGATAAGGCAGCTCCAGCAAATTCCTCAAAATTGTATATCCTAATTGTATTAATTGTATATCTATAAACTGTAAAGCGCTTTGGAGTGGCTTTTTAGCCCACCATCATCTGATGGTGGGCTATTCAAATCACCCTGCGTCCGTGGTCCGTCGTCCGTCCGTTGTCCGTCGTCCGTCGTCTGTCCGTAAACAATTCTTGTTATCGGAATTTCTCAAGAAGTACCAGAGGGATCTTTCTCAAATTTTATATGCAGGTTCCCCTTGGTCTTTAGCTGTGCAGGGCAACTTTTGAGACTGATCGGATAAACAACATGGCCGACAGGCAGCCATCTTGGATTTTGATAGTGAAAGTTTGTTATCGCTATTTCTCAAGAAGCACCAGAGGGATCTTTCTCAAATTTTATATGTAGGTTCCCCTTGGTCCTTAGCTGTGCAGGGCAACTTTTGAGACTGATCGGATAAACAACATGGCCGACAGGCAGCCATCTTGGATTTTGATAGTGAAAGTTTGTTATCGCTATTTCTCAAGAAGTACCAGAGGGATCTTTCTCAAATTTTATATGTAGGTTCCCCTTGGTCCTTAGCTGTGCAGGGCAACTTTTGAGACTGATCGGATAAACAACATGGCCGACAGGCAGCCATCTTGGATTTTGATAGTGAAAGTTTGTTATCGCTATTTCTCAAGAAGTACCAGAGGGATCTTTCTCAAATTTTATATGTAGGTTCCCCTTGGTCCTTAGCTGTGCAGGGCAACTTTTGAGACTGATCGGATAAACAACATGGCCGACAGGCAGCCATCTTGGATTTTGATAGTGAAAGTTTGTTATCGCTATTTCTCAAGAAGTACCAGAGGGATCTTTCTCAAATTTTATATGTAGGTTCCCCTTGGTCCTTAGCTGTGCAGGGCAACTTTTGAGACTGATCGGATAAACAACATGGCCGACAGGCAGCCATCTTGGATTTTGATAGTGAAAGTTTGTTATCGCTATTTCTCAAGAAGTACCAGAGGGATCTTTCTCAAATTTTATATGTAGGTTCCCCTTGGTCCTTAGCTGTGCAGGGCAACTTTTGAGACTGATCGGATAAACAACATGGCCGACAGGCAGCCATCTTGGATTTTGATAGTGAAAGTTTGTTATCGCTATTTCTCAAGAAGTACCAGAGGGATCTTTCTCAAATTTTATATGTAGGTTCCCCTTGGTCCTTAGCTGTGCAGGGCAACTTTTGAGACTGATCGGATAAACAACATGGCCGACAGGCAGCCATCTTGGATTTTGATAGTGAAAGTTTGTTATCGCTATTTCTCAAGAAGTACCAGAGGGATCTTTCTCAAATTTTATATGTAGGTTCCCCTTGGTCCTTAGCTGTGCAGGGCAACTTTTGAGACTGATCGGATAAACAACATGGCCGACAGGCAGCCATCTTGGATTTTGATAGTGAAAGTTTGTTATCGCTATTTCTCAAGAAGTACCAGAGGGATCTTTCTCAAATTTTATATGTAGGTTCCCCTTGGTCCTTAGCTGTGCAGGGCAACTTTTGAGACTGATCGGATAAACAACATGGCCGACAGGCAGCCATCTTGGATTTTGATAGTGAAAGTTTGTTATCGCTATTTCTCGGGAAGTACGGGAGGGATCTTTCTCAAATTTTAAATGTAGGTTCCCCTTGATCCCTCGTTGTGTATGTTATATTTTGAGACTGATCATAAAAACAAAATTGATTAAAAGACAAACTAAACAGATCTTTCTCATATTGCAATGACTGATTCTATTTCTTTCACATTAAGTACTGTACTAGTAAATATGTGAAATGACAAACTCACTTTGAAGGTTGGCTTTCATACACATCAGTATTGAGTTTAGATCAAAAGTTACCTCAAGGTGCATTTACTGTTAACATGACTCGATCAAACAGATTAGAGGAAAGAAGAGAAAAGATCGAACTGACAAAGAACTAATGAAGATGGTACAAAGGTGGGCGCCAAGATCCCCCTGGGATCTCTTGTTATGTTAGCTAGATAGGGCGCTATATCAAATGTTGTATTTTATTATTATTCATATTCATGTTAGGTTTAAATGTGCGAATGAATCTCCCTGCAAGCTCAAACAAATATCTATGTTTGGCAAAAAGTAACTGATAGTCAGTAGCTCAGACTTTATAAAAGTTCCAGGACAAACATGTCAAAATCTCAAATTGTTTAAATTAGGTACAAGGAGAAACTGATTATTGCAAAATGTTATTGCATATAGCAAAGTGCTGGATTTAATTTAATAGCATTATCTTTGGCAACATTTTCATATGATTTTGCACATGACAACAATGTTGCGCACACACTTTATTCTGGATGAGCTAATAAAAATGTTACCTATTATGAAGTTATTTTAAAGGGGCTATTTAGTCAAATAACAACCAGAAAATTGAGTCGATACTGAAAATATATATCTTCTAACGAAAGTTTACGTTGTTGATAATGACATGACGATGCATATTTTTTTTTTATGATCATTTCTGTTAAGTCAATTGGTAATAATTTACATAATGAAAATTTTGTAAAATTGCATTCAATATATAATTTACAATGTACAACATTGATTTGTTAAATAATAAGTTGAGGTGTTTTACAGCAATCACTATCGTTCTAGGGCTACAGAAACATACAAATATATACCAGTATACAAAAGGCATATAAATCCACAATTAACATGCATATCATTAATCTTCAAATACATATTACAGGGCAACATGGCATTTATTATAAATGTACAGTATATATATATATGCATGAATTTATTATCAACTTTATTTATGCATGGTTTATGCAACAGTATAACAACAAAGGTTTTAGGTAGAACAAGGATTTGCCTGATAAGCTTTAATTTATTGTTATATAATACTTTTTGTTTGTGTATTTGTTCTTTCAGGTTTGAAGTCCTTAGCTGTTTCATGTTGTTGCTGTAGTTACCAAAGTGCCAAATGTAAAGTGTCTTCGGCCTCTGCTGGAGGAGGCCCACCGCTGAAGAGACAGAGAACAGGGGTAACTAGTGCCAAGGTAACAGTATGTGGTTAATATGGGAGTAATAGAATCTCTCACAACCTTGGGGGTGAGATAGGGGAATCACAAACCAAGGGGGAACATTCTTAAGTTGCCAAACATGAGGCTTTGCCAATTAAGTGTTTGACAACTTAAGAATCTTTCCTCGAGGGTTGAGAATCTGCTATCTCTCCCTCAAGGGGGTGAATGATTCTTTTTCTCTTACCCTGTTCACTCATTATGTATCATATACATAATGTAATGTTAACGTTGCATACTAAATTCAGGGTTGACGTGATGTTGATAGATTGTTGACGTGACACCATCGTATTGTTGATGTGAAGTCATACCATTGTTATGAATTGGGGAATCCCCCCGTCTCAACCCTAGGGTGAGACAAGGATATCTCACACTGGTAAAAGTGTGGAGACACCTGTCCAGGGTAAAATAATGTATGGTGTATAGCGACTGCAAGTCAAGAGGCGATTATGAAACTGGAAGTAGAACAAACTGAACACACTACCAAACAGTATACCATCAACTGCCTATTAAAAACCCATGACCACATCACCATTAAAACCCCATTAAAAAGCCATTAAAATGTGCAGTGTTAATGTGGTGATTATTGGCAAACCCATTAATAAAACTGATTTAATAGCCATTACTTGGAGATTAATAATGGGCACTACTTTCAGACCTTTATTAATGGGCATTAACACTGGTGTGAGTTAATGCCCATTATTCACATGGGTAAATAAAAGGGTTGTTAATGGCATTATCTAATGGCCATCAATGGTGGGGAACCACATTAATGGCCATGAAATAACCAGTAAAATGTGCAGTATTAATGGCCCATTCACTTTTTGAATTAATTAATGGGCAGTTTAATGGCCATTGTCATAAGGTAATGGCCATTACTATTTCACCACCCACCATTGTGTAATGGCCTTGAATTTATTTTTAAACTACAAAAACAATGAAAACCAATCATGGCCATTACATTTCTCATGGCCATGGGATTAGATAAACAGTGACATATATATTGTATTATATGCAAGAAACGCATATTAAGACAGGATACCTTGAATTGCACAATGATGTGTTATGCATGATGCATCATTTGACAAATTGACAAGACTAGTTCTATTCAAGGAACCCTTTTTTAATCTAAGTGCTAGCAGAAGTACAAGCTTCATGTTAAGGAAAACCAACTACAAACATATATGTACTGGTATATTTAGTTGCATAATTTAAAAAAAAAACTTTTTCAGTGGCAGATGATTATAAGATCAAAGTGACTGTGTGCATTGTACATGTACATGTTTATTGACGGAGGAAACCAGAATAAACTACCAAATGCAACTGGAAAATCCACTACATCCCAATTTTCAAGTAAACAGTTGCATTGTTCATAAATGACAATGTTGATTCAACATACAGCTGTCTGTCTGTCCCAGTATTAAATTCTCCAATTTGTATCGTTATACATGGACCTTTATAAAATTACAAAAGCTAATTTATTCTACATACATGAAAAAAATATCCGTGGATATATAACAAATATACAAACACATATTCTTACTAGAGTGAGGGTACCTGATTTCGTACACTTTTGAAACAGATTTACATATTTTTTTACAAATACATCCCCAAGAAGATCGGATCTACTTTGACCTAAAAGATGTATGCAATCTGCACTATATTCGGTAATGTGTCGTCATATGCGCAGAAATTTACTGCGCAGGGGATCTTTCTTTTACTATCATTTACTTCCACGTTTGGCGGCAGTTGGGGACGTGATTTCTTACACTCTACAAATGTGCTATTCTTAGTAAATAAAGCGAATAGAAGTATATGTCGTATGAATTCAATATATTTCATTCAGATTTGTCGATTTTCATAGACCAGAAATGTTTTTGAACGAATTATGATTTGTTTATAAAAAATGTGTCCTTTGTTGGTGGTGACATCGACCCTTTTGTGGAAAAATATCAACTATATTGATAACTAACATATTCTAATAGCAATTATTTCATTGGATGTTTTATAAAACAATTTCAATGCTTCAAAAGGTTTTTGGGGCCAAAAACAAACAAATATTTTAGATTAGTTTCGAAATAATGACTGTTCCCTATGATAGGTGCCCTGTCATTGAGACGGCGTGAGACGCCGATATTTATTAATATTATATTTGAGCTTCTTTTTGATATCTTCTCGATGCAAATAGTAAAATATTGTTTTATATAAATTATCTCAAAGTGATCACAAGAAAATTGGCTAGATTCTGTTTTAAATGGTAATGCTTTAAAGTTACATTGGGCCCATCTTGCAGATGACAGCTCGACTCGCTAGTTTCGTTTTGAAAACGAGGTTATTTGGGAAATCTATATTTAGCATCACCGAAGAAGGACAATAGCGGTGGTTTGCTGTTGGAGCAATTTTATGCCTCCATCGAAAGTGATTGGTTAAAAAATAAAAAAATAAAAATTTAGTGTACGAAATCACGTCCTGTACGAAATCACGTACCCTTACTCTAACACGATATAGTAAGCTTATAAACACCGAATGAGAAATTAGATAAATTCAACTTAAATTGACATGTCGTGTATGACAAATGTACAATATTACTCAATATTAATGACTAGAAGAGACATATAACACATATTTGTCAATAGTTACCTTATTCGTTGCCGCAGATGTAAAAATCTGTCTATGTATGGTGGTACCATGTGTTTCTAAAATGGCGTCTTCTAAAGCTCTGAGGCAATACTAAACTGTGGACGGTAATGTCCGGAAAGGCGTATAAAATAACAACCTACTCGACCGGGTAGATAAATCCGGAAAATACCATATCGATGTACTACATACATATTACAATTGCTGAGTTGAACTCAATACTTTATATTTATGTATTCTACAAATAAATCACTACTTAAAATAAATGTTCTTTTTTTTAATATGAAACTCCCCACCCGATTGCACCCGACAATCGCTATGCAACTAAAATGTCACTGGGAATTTGTAAACTAAAGATATGACTTTCAATAGTTCAAGTAGAGTTAGATTCCACGTTCACCAACGTGGAAGCGTTTCACATATTAATTAAACATTGTTCACAGTTTGACAATTGTCACAAATCAACCACTGAGCAGCACAACTAGTTCAGAGATTGGTCTGGTGTATTTTGTGACCTGGCCGTTTTTTACTGTATATCCGGTTAATACCTTTTTTGCTAACCGTCACAGCCCTAGCTTGAATTTGATGTGTTGTGAACAATTGTGTACACAGATGTTTACAGAAAGAGAAATAAACATATGAAGTTTACATTGATTGTTAATTTCCCATTTTTTAGTGGGAACATTCCAGTGTATCTCTTGGGTCTCGAGTTTTCACATTGCAGTTGATAAGATAGCCCAAAGCATGTTCTACTATAAAGCCATTCATGCATAGATCTATCTTTTTATAATAACCAATAATAACTTCAACACAACCAAGGGTTTACCAATTCCAGGCTGAAGACTCTCTTCTTATAAGTTGTTCAATTTTGGTCATCGCCATCATTTGACAGTTCCATATGGCAGTTACTACTAATACATGTACTAGGATGCCTTTTGACATGACCTCGTGCCACATGTGGAGTGGAAATGCTAACTTAATAATGTGGAACACCTGATTGTATCTCTGGTTGTTATGGTTCATGTTGTCCTGTGTCTGTGTTTTGCCTTTTCTTTTTTATGTTGTCTTTTGTCCTGTTGTTTTTGTTTTTTAAACTACTCGATCACTGATTTACTGACTGTTTTTTCCTCTTAATTCAATTTCACAAGAGCCAAAAAAAACCCCCAAAAAAACAACTTATTCTTTTATGGCCATTATTATGAAAATTTACTTTAATTCCAAATATTCATGACCATTACCTACAAGAACTGGTGCAGTTGCCTTGTTAATGGTCATTAAGGTCATAGGAGTGTATTGCTAAACGGAAATAGGAAGTACATCCCTAGTTGAAAATCCAATGTAGGGAGACAGTATCACAATTTCCGCATACTCTAATGTTTAATATTAAACTGATGAATATTGTATGCTTATTATTGACAGAACAGTGTGTTCTTTCAATATTAAAGTATTGCAAAGCAATCCAGGTATTAATTCAGTTGTTTTTTAATCAATGAGTCACATGTGTCCATTTTTCTGTACTTCAGGAAACCGGCTACCTATTTAACTACTGTGAAGTTTTTCAAGAACGATAACTCTTGCATGCAATTACTATGTGTATATGGTTTTGTTCTGAAATGTCAATTTTTAACCGTTTATAGATGATTAATTTTACACAATTTCAGCATTTATGAAATTGATATACATTAATGCAATACTAATCTATGTTAGTATAATTTTTATTGAAATTATTTTGCAAAATAAATGTGTTTCAATTTTTTTTTCAAAATTCAATCCTTTTTACATAAAATCCATTTAAAATCCTTAAAATTCTGACAACCTATATTTTTTTGTGGCAGACATTTTTTTTACTTCAAAGCAATATAACTACAAAATTTGAATAAATTCTACTGAGAAATGGCGACACAATCCTATTACCTGAAATAAAATCACACATCTTGCCTAAATCAACTAATGGCCATTACACAAAAATGGGAGGCAATTATTTCTCAAGATTTTCTTTCATGGCCATTACATGCACCCAGTTAATGCCCATTATCATACCTCAAACAAAAACTAATGGCCTTGAAGTATTTCCCATGAGGATTTAATGCCCATTATAGTAATTTTTAATGGCTTTTTAATGGGTATTTCCATATATTTGCCAAAGTTAATGGGAATTCATTAATGACCATTAGAAATTTCAAACATGAATTAATGTTGTGTTCTAATGGGTTCATGGGGTTTTAATGGGTTGTTAATTTGTTTTTAATGGATTACAGTTTAATAGTGACATGTGATTGTTTGCCTTATTTTGAGCAATTGGGACTATTCATATTCAAAATTCCTATTTTTGGCTGTGCTTA